GTGGAGCAGCTTTCCCCTAGTTTGTGCCCTGGTCATGAAATAACTCTCAGTACACACACAACAGTTTAATGATTTTGTCTGCCTGAGAGAGTTCAAAGCTCTGAACTAAAACTGTGTAACTAAAGATTTAAATTGTTATTCCGAAACTGAGTTTGTTCAATGTATCTGAGCTACTTGTTTTTGTTTTGAAGTCCTTTTTATGCTGTCATGTCTGTTTTGGCATGATCTAATTGATGTTTTCTTTACTTTGAAGCATATTGCCATCATGGCCATTACTCTATTGAAAAGGAGATCTGTATCTCAAGGGACCTCTTTGTCAAATAAGGTTAAATATGATGAATTGTATTTTAAATTGTCATGTTACCTTCAATTGCAAAGGGTTTTCCAACTGTTAGTGTCTTGCAGTCTGCATCGATGGAGACTTCATAATCCAGTAGAGCTTTGTCCATAATGAATGCATCCAGTTTCTGAGGGTCAGCCCTGTAAACACACAGAAGGTAGATATATTGGAATTGACTGAAAATGCAGATGTAACAAAAATAAGTGGCACCTTTGCTTCATGCACTCTATACAACAAGGTGTTTCTAAGTGTGTATATTAACTGAGGTTCTGGAGCAGGACCATGCCTAAACCATACCTCCAGTCTGCTGACAAGCCTACTTCTACCTAGCTATTCCACTCCACTCTGTTTGTCTCAGTTCTTCCTTTCCTCTCCGCTCAGCCATACAACCTTTTTTCCTCATCCCTTCATCTTGTTTGTCTAATCTTAGTTACAGTCTGGGCCAAGATAAGCTCGTGTAGAATTACGCCTGAGACAGAACCTGCATCCTGAGTCTCAATCTGCCTGGCCTTCAGTCCATTCTCTCATTGGTTAAACAACAAAATATACTCACAGTAGTTCATTTCAGACAAGGTGTGTGATGATAAGTGAATGATGTTAGAGCAGACTGTTGGCCTGAAATGTTCCTTAAGTGACCATCTGATGGATGACTGGACAGACAACATGATAGATGGACTGGATCTAATCCATAGTTACTCTCACAAATGCATTGTAGGGACAAATGTTACTGTAGCACTAACACAACAAATTCTTTATGCCTGCTGGGAACCAGCCCCAAAAACTTGCATTTTTAAAACAACCCTCTGAATTGCACATAAAAAATGTATCCTTAACACCTCCTGAGACAGACAGAATTTTACCTAACATGGTCCCCTCTATCGCGGTCTGCTACTCTGACCCTTTTCTTTTCTCAGTTTGTGTCCTCATGTCACGCCTCTGACCTTACAGTGCAAGTGGAAGTATAAGAACAGTTTGTGTTTTGTCAGGCTCAAAAGGTAAAGTTGAACAGATAAAAACACCAATAGTATTCTCTCTACCAGGGCATGAAAGAAAAACATTTCCTTCACATCTTTCTTGGACTAATATGGGCACACAAAGTAACCTTCAGCTTCTGCATGAGAACAGCCATCATTCAACTGTAATCTTTATTTGCAGATTATACATAGAACTGTAGAATCAGTATACAGGGATCTGGTTTTTAAGACTGTAATGGTAAATGGTAATGGACTTTGTAATGGATGCTTTGTGTACTGACTACTAAAGCGCTTTTACACTGCATGTCACACCTACCCATTCACACCCATTCAGACACTGATGGCAGTGGTTGCTAGTGAGACCATCAGAAGTAACTAACCCCTTTTCTGGCCTGTGCTCACTGTAATTGTCTCTTGTGTTGTATCATTAGTGTATTGTCTCTTGTCATGCATGCCCATGTCGTGCCCAGGGAAACATCGGACATTCCGGTTGAGAGATGACGACTCTACCAACTGAGCCACAGCCCACAGCCTGTGAAGTGTTCTTGTTTCCATCTTTTAGAAAATGTGTATTTTGAGCTGTATTGACCATTTACATATTGGCAGAAAATGCAGGAAAAAAAGTCTGTGTTGCACGATAAACCAGGCAAAACTTTTTTGACATACCAACTCCCATGGGCGGCATTCTACCGATAACTTATTTGTCTCTTAACATTTATCTTCTTAAAAGTGCAGCTAACAATCAATTCCAGATCAGACCTTTTACTTTTGTGACACAAATCTGTCTGACACTGCGTCACGAAAAAAACCCATCAGCAATTAGATTTCCTGACTACCTCAAAAAAAAAGTATCAAATTTTAGCGAATGTATTTTTTGTTAACAGTGAGTAAATTACAATTCCTTTTTCAGCTCATAATGCTGAAGTGAGCCAGAGTGAAGCTGAAGTGAGCCAGAGTGAAGCCTCTGTGTAACTTGTACTCTACTGTTGCACTGAGACTCAACAGATGAACAGGCGTAACTCTGGGATATTATGGACCAAGAAATTCCTTCTTTTTTTTCCTGTGCAGACGGACATGCCACATGGAAAATTACATCTTGCCTGGAAGTTGTTTAACGCTAACCACTGGCTTCACCAGAATTAATGAAAAATGTGCATCTGCTCCCAGAGGCATATAATATCAATCAGACAATGATGGACAATGAGCTGATTGGTTTTGAGATTTAAACAACTCTTATGTTGTTTGTAACTGTGATGTAGCTTTTCTGCTGAACCAAACAGATGGTGTGATGTTAACCATGCAGGAAGAGAGCTGACGCTATACCATTGTAATTGCTTTGGGCAAGAAAGGAGTTCGACAGGGCGTTGGTATTTGACAACCTGGAATGAGAAATTGTTGGTAGCACATTTGGGCCACTGCATGTTTAGTGTTTAAGACTTGAAACAAACAAAGTCCAATAACTGACAAAGAAACCAATCCAAAAATGCTGCAGGAACACAACGCGACAATGGAAGCTGTTGAGTTGGTTTGCTTTGTGCTTCTGAGTACTTTATAGAGCTTTTCAGAGTGCAATCACAGAAAATTGTAAAATCTCTCAACATTGCTTTGTCCGAAGCTGATTTTTCGCCAGTTGGTCTTACACATCATTTTCCAATACTTTAACTGGTCACATGCTGGTGAAATTACTGCCTGTTTCGGGCAATTTACTCACATCTCTTCTTCCAAGTCTCTTATACAGAGGAGACATATTAACTCACAACACTCTCAGCAAGGTTTTAACAAATCAACTCTGAATGTCTTTACTGACAACTAAAGCCTACCTGAATATAAATTCTTCAAAGCCTTTTTTAAGATAGTCTTTATTTGTCACCCCTTATCAAGGATAGTGTTTGAAACCCCACCACTATCTGCTGAGCACAACCTGGCTGTGCATATATAACGGGATGAATCAGACGCAGCTTACTGTCCTCACGCTTTCCCACCAATGATATTATGTTTTAAAATGGGATTACTACCATGCACCTACCAATTCCCCAACCAATATTATTACAGCACAAGGCCCCCTTTTCTGCATTGTCTCCATGCAGTTATGCTGGTAAAAGTAGTGGAATCATGTATTGCCAGCTCAATGGCACTTTAATACAATGCAGTGTAAGACACAGCAGTTCCAATGATGTTGAATCTCTGAGGTTGAACAGGAGAGAGTCTTTGCATCATGATGAAGGATCTGCTAGCAATCAGGTTTGAAATGCCCTTGGGGGAAAAAAAATGTTGTTCTGTGTTATGTGAAACTTATATCAAGGCATATACTAGAGTCTATTATTTTAATAGGCCAGACAAAATAGTACATGTGATGCTGTAATGCCAGGGAGCAGGGAGACTGCTGTTAGCTTTTGTTAGTACTAATTGCTGTGGTGAGAATGGAGCTATAGCAATATGGTTAAAACAGAATTGACAAAAATACACCCTAAAAAGTGGGGTTCAAATTTAAGTGATATTCTTTTACAAGTAAAATCCCTGTTGATTCAACATTCTTAATTAAATCAATCATAATAAAAAAAATATTGTCATGATGAAAATATGATCACGAAACAAATTAAAATCCCTTTGAAACAATTGAAGAAACTACTTGGAGTAAAACATAAAACGTCTCTGCTCTGAAACCATGCGATCACTTCAACCGTAAATTACCTTTAACATATTTTTCATTATGTGAGATTAAAGTATCCAGTCACTCATTCCTGGTCGCCTTGGGAAGTTAACCTTGAGCAAAGTTGCAATTCAGCACACTTGTACTTGTATGGCGTTGTAAAGTGTCATGTTCACCAGTTGTAATTTTCTAAAGATTACAATTCCCTTGAACCCTCTAATCATTTCACAAGCACAGTAAAAAAATCTTGTTTCGTCCGTTGAAATTGTGTTCTACCCAGCCTCGGCCTGCATTCCAGCTGCTTTTTTCTCCTATATTCTGCGAGGCTCCGTGGGGATGCCAGTAGAATGTTGAAGCAGCTTAGGCTGACAGCAATGGCAGGGTAAGGAGGAGTGTGAGATGTGAATGCAAACAGGAGAATGACAGCATTTTGTTTTTTTCAAATTCTGTCTTCTTTTGGACGTACACAACAACTTCACTTTTTTTCTAGAGATGATCTATTTTTGTATTGTTTTTTCAACTCTCTTTCGGCTAATGATGACAGCAAGAGATAACTTGTTGAATAGGAAGTAAATATAAGGGGACAGATGACAGTTGTTACAGGCTTAGTGACGACTACAGCGATGAACATACAAAGCAGGCCCTCTCATGCGTGTGTACCTGAATGCATAATGTCAGTGGCAATATGTATAGTATAAAATTGCCTTACTTGAGATTATGTATGCCATCTGGTGTTGCTGGGACATTGTATCTTCTCATGTACTCATGCATCTCAGGGAAACTCTTTTTGAGATAGTCCTCTGCACTGCTTTCTCTCACTGTGGCAAATCGAAATCCCTGAGAGGGATGGTGCAACTGCAAGAAAGAAGAATGAACCCAAATGTTACCTTTAGAATACTTTCAAAGCGCATGAATATTGATTACTATTGATACAAGTCATTTCTGTCTGTTGTTTCTATTCTCTTTTCTTTAGTTGGTGTTTTAAGTCTTTTCTTTTCTTTTTGGAAACATACTTTCATTATGTCTTGCGCCACACTTCTGATTTTGAGAATAGGTGAGTTGACAAACTACATAAATCACCCTGGCTCAATTGCTATGAAAACATTGATCAATTCAGGAATTAACGTGTTTAATTAAAGTTTAAAAGGTTAACAAAATTTGTAGCCTGCAGTTTAAAGTGATAATCATGGACCTCGCAAAAAGATTATCCAAAAAAATGTAAAAAAAAGCACTTGTCTGTCTGTCTGTCTGTCTGTCTGTCTGTCTGACTGTCTGTCTGTCTGTCTGTCTGTCTGTCTGTCTGCCTGTCTGTCTGTATGTTTGACTGTCTGCCTATCTGTCTGTCTGTCTGTCTGTCTGACTGTCTCTCTGTCTGACTGTCTGTCTGTCTGTCTGTTTGACTGTCTTTCTGTCTCTCTGTCTGACTGTCTGTCTGTCTGTCTGACTGTCTCTCTGTCTGTCTCTCTGTCTCTCTGTCTGACTGTCTGTCTGTCTGACTGTCTCTCTGTCTCTGTCTGTCTGACTGTCCGCCTGTCTGTCTGTCTGTCTGTCTGTCTGTCTGTCTGTCTGTATGTTTGACTGTCTGTCTGTCTGTCTGTCTGTCTGTCTGTCTGACTGTCCGCCTGTCTGACTGTCTGTCTGTCTGTCTGTCTGTCTGTCTGACTGTCTGTCTGTCTGTCTGTCTGTTTGAATGAAATGTAGAAATATCTTATTTCATAAAGATGTTTTTAGTAGAAAAGATTATTTAAATGAAGGAGTTCTATGCTGATTTAAAGGTGATTGAGACTATAAGTTTCTTATTTAATCCCTGTTATCAGCATGTCACTTTCATACCTTTGGGTCATGTATCCCCGACAGTTGCTCATAGGTTTTCTCCCCGACCATGACAGCAGCTAGATTTGCAGTATAGGTGGACAGACAGAACAGACAAAAGATGGCCCAGAGATTCATCAGCAAACGGCCTGTCCAGCACTTAGGTGGCTTGATAGCCACTGTTCTCCCAAAAAGAATAGCGTAGCACACATTGAGCGCTGATGAGAAGGAGAACACCCGGTCGCGGTTGCGTCCTCGTGGTGTCATACCAAATGGGCTGTGCCACTCATACAGGGTGAGGAAAACAGCTGTGACGTGGAGGGAGACAAAGATGCCGAGCCACATGGACCAGTGGAGAGGCCACATGAAGGCACCAATGGGGGCTGCTGTATCACGAGTCCGAACCTGGGCAAGAAGGAACACAGGATTGGAAAATAAATAAGGATATGATTTTGGTGACATTATCAGATTTCATAGAGTTGTCATAACCTCTTCCCCTGTTCTACCTGACCAGCCCTTTCTCTATTCACAAACCAATCCTCTGTTCCAACCACCACAATAGCTTCCTGTTTTACCTGAGTTTGTCTATCCTACCCTTTCTTGCCTGTGAGTCTTTTTATCCACAATTTATCAAAATAGTCTGCCGTAATCATCTGTGTGAGTGGAGAAAAAAAGACAATACAGGGGGGGTGTGAAAGGATTTAAAATTCTTATAAACTGACTATTACCTTTTTGTTGTTTATATGCTGCAGTATCAGTGTTGGGTTTAGGTGGTGATTGACAATTCCGTTAATGATCATACATTTATTTCAGTGAGGACATAAATCAGAATCAGGAGTTTAGATAGGATACTAAAATGATGGAAAAGTTATTGCAAAAACACGACACAAATCCAGTAGCCTCGCATTAATTACACAACATTTGTTTTATGAGCCAACAGTGCACTGGTAGCAAATGCAAATCCAATGGCAGATGTGCACTTAGTATGATATCTTGGAGAGAGATACTTAAAGCAGAATTAGAAAAACAATCAAATAAAACAAACTAATGATATAAGAGTTCATTACTGTAAATAAAAAAGATCATTCTCCCCTATAGTGGCAGTTAAAGAGAGGAGAGTCATTTCCACTATCCTTTGGTTCATCAGTCAGGGAGAATGGATGAAGTAATTGTAGTGAGGCGGTCAACCCACAATCTGTACATTCACCCGTCCAAACCATACAGAGGAACTGCAATATAATGCAATAAGGTAGGGCCTGCAGTAATAAACCTCTGCCATATTGATACTGACCACCAGCATACCAAGAGAAGAGAGTTGAGGTGAGGTCAATGACAGAGAGCAGAAAAAGATGGCCAAAAAAGTTACAGAAGTGAGACATATAACACGTAGGAATAAAAAAGAGAAAAAGCAATATTAAAAGATGGGGGAAAAAAATCGAAAGTGAGAAAACGAGCGGTACTGACCAGAATTCCAAGGCTGGTGGAGAAAAAGGTGAGGTGAAGTCAATAACTTGGCTTCTGGCTGAATTAATGCTAAAAGAAGTCACTGCCAGGTGGGCAGCGCCACTGAGCAGATCACCCACCAATCCTGTCCAGCGACCATTCTTGAACCCCCCGTACTTCCCATCACCAACAATGTAAAGGTCAAAAGTGAATCCCATGTCCTCTGCCAGCTTCTCCAGCAGGTCAACGCAGTATCCATAACAGCACTTCTTATGCTCTGTTGGAACAGATACATTGCGCCCTGAAAGGTTCTTGAAAAGTCTGGCCAAAACTGAAGAGTCATTGGTCAGAGGGTCGAGGCACAACTGGCCTGCAGGACACAACCCATCCCCATCCACCTCACGAGTAAATACAAACGGGTGCTCCACCAGAGTTACCACCCGCATGTGAAGCCGCGTGGATCGACGCCAGTCACCGCCGCCCCCAGAACCATGATGGATTGGCCAGGCTCCCTGGTCCATTAGAACATTCCCCCGTCTCCACCGTCCCAGGCGAGTCCAGGTTGGCTGGCCCAGGGGGTCCAGCTGAAGGGACCAGATGTAGTGATGCGACTCTGACATAACTTTCTGGCTGTTAGTGTTTTTGGATATAAACCCACTCTGGCCCTCGAATGATGTGTTGGACAGAAATCTAAATGAAGGGAAAGTGGGAGACAGGAGGAGGAGGGTGGAGGAAGGAAGATGAGAGGAAAGATGATAAAGAGGTTTTGGAGAAGGAAGAAAAATGTTTAGTCTTTTCATTATTCAAGTTGACCTGGATACAGACAGCATATTAATTAAGTATTGCAGTAAACATTGCTGCATCCCTGGATCAAAACTACAATAAACTGTTTAGCTGATTAAGGAACTTCTCGTAAACAAAAAAATACATATCTTTAAAAAAAAAAAAATGGTCCCCAATATATTCAGATTTCAAAGTTGAAGCTGTGGTCAGGATTTGGGCATAAATTGTATGTATTTTCAATTGTGGGAGAAATGTAAAAATGCATTTCATTGAGGTTGAGAAATCATTCTGATTGATTTGTAAATAAGCATCAGTTTTCATCAAAAAACTTCTTCTGTAACTTGAACTATTAATTTTCAATTATCAACGGTGGAAGCTCTGCTGGATTTATTTGAAATCATGATTCCCAGATATTAAAAATGAAACATTTATGATACAAAAGTTGTAGTACCTTTAATTAAACCTTTCATTTTTGCAAATTACCAACAATTCCCAGAATGACAAAATGTTTGATGGAATTGTTTACCGATTTTCCAAAATAACATACATTTTGTAGCTGTATGAGTATGATAAATAGTTGAGATGATAAGTGCGATTCTAGCAAATACTTTGACCTCTAAGGCTTTTATCTATATTGACTTGAAGGCTGAGCTTGAAAATTAATTTCTTCAATCAGAAATCAAAATAAGCTAAAAACAAACACTGTGAACAAAAAAACAACAACCAGCTGTCCACCTTGTCGAAACACATGCTTTCCCTCTGCTCCCTGAGGAGGTTTCTGTGCTTTAACACAAGTTCTGGTCAAAGACTCTGGAACACTTCTTAAATTATCCTCTGCAAAAAAATATGTGGTGAATTTATATATATATATGTATGTACGTATGTATGTGAGTGTTTGAGTGTGTGCATGTGCTTACAGGCATGGATAGGTGATGGTGTGTGTGTGTGTGTGTGTGTGTGTGTGTGTGTGTGTGTGTGTGTGTGTGTGTGTGTGTGTGTGTGTGTGTGTGCGTGCGTGTGGAAGGATAAGGCAAGTGATGGTCCAGTGATCACGCCATCTTTCTCACTGAGCCATGCTACTGGCTGTCTGAGAGTGTCAGATACCAAAGCAGATGTACACACTCACACACAGAAAAACACACACACTTGTCCATTGGAATGGATATGTTTGGACAGAGGAAGGAGTGCTGGCATCCATTCTGTGCG